AGCAACCTGGCTGACCTTGCCAATGCCATCCACTGGTTGCCTCCAGGAATTCTCTGGGCTGGAAAGTTTTCTCCATGGCTTGTGGGCCTCATGGGAAGCATTTCTTCCTTCATTGGGATCTATCGAAACTATGCAGGGGGCAGTTGTGGAATGGTTTGAACAGCTGCTGAATTGAATGGAGAAAAGGGGCTATCAGGGGAATTTATAAACGGTTACATAATCCCTGTTGAAATGGGGAGAGTAATTCCTATTATGGTGGAGGCTAGATTGGTATTAGGCTCTTCTATTAAAACATGGTGCTTTTATATAACACATAGGCACTTTTCTGGAGGATCTATTTGGGAAAGTTTATAGAGCAGGGCTGGCTGAGGAATTCTGGGAGTTGAAGTCCATAAAGTTGCCAAGGTTGGAGACTCTCTATTATAGAGTTTAGTTTGCCTACTTCACTCTGTATATAGGTAGTCCTTGACTTACAACCACATTGGAGCCTGGAATTTCAGTCATAAGTCACTGCAGTCATAAGTCAAAGCACCGCATGACCAGACTTGATTTTACAATTGCTTTTATAATGGTCGTAAAGTGAGCCACTCTGATTGTTAAATGAATTACATGGTTGTTAAGCAAATCTGTTCTTCTAAATGGGCTTTGATATTGGCAAGAAAACCCAGAAGCTGGTGAAAGCATCACGAATTGTGCTCCCATGGTAACAGGATGCTACAATCAGTGGTAAATGCAAGCCAATTGCCTTGCGCCCAAAATCTGATCACGTGACTGCGGGGAGGGGGCAGCAGTCATAACCTCAAGGACCAGTTATACATAGCTTTTTAACAGTCTGTTGTAATTTCAGCCGGTTGTTAGCTACCTTAAGGGACAAGTGGCTGCCCTGCTTAGTTAAATAATTTGGCTATGGTTTTTTAATGTGAAGAATACAGTCTTGCTCTTTGTACATCATGTTAATGTGAAACCATTAGGGCTGATAATAAAAGATACAATCTCACACTTTCCCTTACCTGATTGGCTCTGTTGATATAGCCCGAACACCTGTCTTTTCATGTTTATTTGGAGTATGAAATCCTATTCACTCATAGCTACATTCAGAGAGCCAGTTTGGTGTGGGGTAGTGGTTCAGGCCTAAGGCTAGAAGCTAAACCATGAATTCTAGTTCTATATTAGGCCCAAAGCCAGCTAGGTAACCATGGGCTGGTCTCACTCTCAGACCTAATTTGCAGGCAATGGCAAACCACTGCTAAAAAACCTTGCCTAGAAAACTCTTGGGACTAATACAGGCAGTTGACAAGAATCAACAATGGCTAAGGTAAAGGTAAAGGTTCCCCTTGCACATATATAAATAAACTCACATTCCCCTTCAGAGAAATCTCAGGGCATTAAAGATGATAGCATCAGTAGCTGCCCAATTCACAATATAGTGGAGGCATTGCCACTTCTGAACATAATTATGTTTTCACACCATAGAACGTCTTTTCATGATTCGCTCCTTTTGCACCAGTTTCTTCGGCTTTCAACCACATCCTTGAATTTGAGGGCCAACACATCTCATCTACATGGGAGAAGTCCTGAAACCCTCTCTCAGACAAGAGCCCTACAAAAAGGATTCAACAAAGATCTGTGTTGTCTGTCAGGATTATAATTCATCAAGCGTTTCATGTGATGTGAGGGAGACCATAGTTTGTTTTGTTTTGACAACAACCAACACAAGTAATCCTATCAAATGTAATGTCAAACAAAGATAACACTTCAAAAGTAGGACATATTTTAAGGTTCGCTTTATGATTTATGGTTTCATGGATTGACTCAAACAGGTTCAGGCTTTAGTTGTATCTGAGGTTCCACAATTATCCTACAGTAGAGAAACAGTTGCAATCATTGCTTAAAAAAATAGCCATAATTTGGTGTGACAGTATCCCATTTGATCATTACAGTAGTGCACAAATTTGACAAAAAAAATTAAAACACTGAAAACCATCAACTTTACAAATAATTAAAAGGAGAGTTACATAGAATGATTACTATGTAATAACCACTAAAGGAGTATCTACGTACAAAGTTGCTATGATTTTGTCTAAAGAGATAGTTGCTGTGACCCTTCAACTTAAAAATCCATTGAAGAAGCTTCAGGCCGACGTAGTCACATAGAGAAGTAAAGCGCAAAATGAGCTTTTCAGACTTAAGCCACTAGAGGCAGAGAACTTCTCAATAAAGTCATAGCCACTTTTTACTACAAAGAAACTTTTTTTGTTCGTCAGTAAGACGGGAAAAGGAAATAAAAATGCCATCCATGTTCTAAAGTGCTTGGGTTCGTCTCATACCATCCATATATATCAGAAAACACTGATAAGCATGGCACAAATGGTCAGTCAGAATGCAATTCACAAACATTGCAAGTACAATAAAATTACTTAAAAGGGTTTTCTTTATGTGTGTGTGTGATGCAGCTGGTAGATCTACACAAAGAGCTTAAAAGCTAATTAAAACAAACCATTTTCTGTCATGGTTGCCTACTTAATGATGTCATCATCAGATTCTGGACGATAGTTTTCTAAGCTGGGAAGAGGGGGGGGTTATATTAAAGTGAATGGCACCATGGCTTCTGCCACGCGTGGACTGTTAATAGTCTTCTCTTCTGGCCTCCAAACTTCCTAATGGCTCTAGAAGGAAACCAAGGTCTCCATGCCGTCAAAAGAACACGAGGAGGCCCCACAATAAAACAAGACCCAGAGTACAAGACTTTCACCTAGAGACACTGTTCATGTGCAACAAGGTGGGAGAAACCGGACTTTTCCATTACCCACTCTCAAACAAGCACTTGTGATGCTAGGAGACAAATACAACGTGCAGAGTGTAAAACTGGGGAAAAGTTAACAACTTCAGCAGCTTGCATCTCCAGTATTTTTGTGATCTGAAGAACAGACACAGAAGAGAGGCAGTGGACGTTCCCACAGGGAATGACATCCTTTGGCGAGAGAGAAGCTCCACTCAAAACATCTCAATCGGTTATTAAGTTAAGAATTTCTTCATTTCCTTCATTTGAACCGGAAACAACTTGGCATCCAATGTAATTCTGACCTGCGTTTCCTCTTCCCACCCCCCTCCCCAGATCCAAAATATCTGGAAAGGGTCTGGAAAATTGGGCCTGCTGCTGTGTGGGCCAGTTACTGCAGCAAGGGTCTTCAGCAGGAACAAAAATCCAGGACCCAGTTTGCACTGGAGGATTTCCCTACAATTGAGGTGGGGGGGATGAGTCTTTGTGGGAGATGAGGTGCTTTGTGCGACCAGCCAGGGCCTAATCTAATTCCCTCAGATTCCCTCCATAGAGTCCCTAACACCATCAACATCTTTGTTTGGTCCTACGCAGAGTCCAAGGGCCACCTTATGGTTGAATGTGAAGATTAAAAGTTAAGGGCCTTCTCGTACCCTTCCCTTCCCAAGAAGGTTATTGTAAAACCTTGGAACTCAAAAGGAAGCTAGAATAATGTTCCAGCCCCAGGAACAATGTAAGCAAAGCCAAGATGGTAACATGGAGCCCCCAAACGATATCATTTTGAATCCTTTTCCAGAGAACATCTTGCAAGCTCTGCCTTCAGATGATGCAGTTGGGGCAAGGCAGAGCCTCCGACACCCGTTTGGGCCAAAGGAGAGCGGACCTTCTTGGGTGTTGATCAGAAAAAAATGACATCATCTTTGCTAGCGTCATCCAGGGAAGGTGGAAGGACATGAATGCTGTTGGGCTTCATGGGACCAACAGAGGTAGATGGCGCTTCCAGATGGCCGCTTTCAGCACCACCAGCCAGTTCTGTGGGGGGAGTGGGGAGAAAAGAGGGGAGAGGAAAAGATCACTACGCAGCATAGTAATAGATCAGCTACCACAGATAAGCCTGTCAAATATATTTTATTTATTTGATTTATTTATTTATTAAATTTATATTGCGGCCTATTTGCCCATGGCAAACTCAAGGCGGCTTACATAATTTAAAACCACATTAAAAAACAATAAAACTACTGTGTTTTTCGGAGTATAAGACTCACCCCTTCCCCCCCCAAAAGAGTGTGAAAATCTGGTTGTGTCTTATACACTGAATACAGCATTTTTGGCCTACTGAAATCCCTCCCCCTTTGCAAAAATGGATGTGCATATCCTTTAGGAGACTTTCAGAGTGCTCCTGGGGGCTGGGGAGGGCAAAAATGAGCAAAAAAACCCCGGCTGTTTTTGCCCCCCCCCCAGCTCCCAGGAGCACTCTATAGGCCTCCCAAATCTCTGCATGCCACCACCCCCTTTTTTGTTGCAAAAAACAATGCGTGCAGAGGGTTTAGGAGCCCTGCAGAGCACAAAAACTTTTTTTAAAATTTACCTCTTCAAAATCATGTGCATCTTATAGTCCGAAAAATATAATAAAAGAATCAGATAAATTAATATAATAAAATCACCTCCCACCCCCAGCAACAGCAGATCACATGAGCCATTTAATGGGGTCCATTCCACTCTGGGTTCCCCCAAGCCCATGGGCAGAACCAGGTCTTCAGCGCCTTCTGGAAGAGTATTAGAGAGGGGGCCATTCTAATCTCTGGGGGGATGATGTTTCAGAGAGAGGGAGCCACCACTAACTAGGCCTTTCTTCTAGGTCCCACCAGGTATATCTCCCTCTGGGATGTTACCTGCAGCATTCCCTGCCTCCCCGCTCTGATGGGTCGGGTGGATGTGACCGGCAAGAGACGGTCCCTCTGATTTAAAGGCTTTAAAGTGACAACCAGCACCTTGGACTTTACCTGGAAGGAAGGCAACATTCTGGCTATGCAGAAAGACGGGGCTTGCAGAACGTCTGTTTCGAGACTGAGATTCTTCCTTGGTAACCATCTTGGAAATTGGGAATGGCCTCACATCACCTAATGCTTGAAATAGAAAAAGGGAAAAAACTCAGCTGATCTACAAAAGGAAAGGAATCACCAGGCACCAAATCATAGCCCTGTCAACTAAATAAGTAATTTTAATAAATATGTTGACAGAGATCCATCAAATGTATTAAGGCAGAGTCTGATTACTTTGGTTTGGATTACTGGATCATGATCTGAACTCAGCCATTATTATTTGTATGTCTTACTTTCGATGATGATATTAGGAGCTTTATAACTGTAACGTTCAACAAACTGGTCAGGGTAAAACCATGGTTTATTGCAAAGAAAGACATCTGTTTTGCAACCACGGACTATGATGTTTTAAACTTCCAGCAGTCTCAAGGAACATGGTGGCATAATCTCTTAATCTGTGTGAAAGAAATCTAGCCAGTTTCCAATCACTTCAGACTCGCCCACAAAATTGGCACAAAACACAGATTCCAAAGAGGAACAAATTTTTGCCACAAGAAACAGTCTATCCACCCATAACGTACATTCTTTTGAGTTCTCAGAATAACAGAGGCAGAAACACTATAATGAGCTAGTAAAGTACTGTACTTTTCGGAATATAAGATGCACTCCCCACGCCCTAAAAGTGGGTGAAAATTGTGGTGTGTCTTATACACTGAATGTTGCCAAAGCTACGGCCACTCGTTGGCCCCCACCCTTTAGCTGTTTTGGACCTCCACACGTTGTGTTTTGGCCTCCAGATGCTGTTTTAGACCTGTTCCAGTCTGCAGGTATCGACACCTTTTTGGCCTCTGCACACATCATTTTTGGCTTCCATGCATCACATTTTTGGCCAGTTCTAGGTGGCAGGGAGTGTCGCTGATCCCCGCTGCCTGGAACCGGCCAAAAATGCAATGCATGGAGGCCAAAAATATGACACACAGAGGCAGTAATGGGCTATGGCGATCCCTGCAGCCTGGAACAGCTGATTGGCGGTATTCTGGGAGGCTGATCCAACCACCAATCAGCTGCTCATGCTGAATCAGGCTGCGATGTGCTGAAGCTGACCAGGCTGTTTGCTGCAAGGACGCTATCCAGATGAATACCGATGGATGCTGGTAGGCAGAAGCAGAATTTTCTTTTCTTGTTTTCCTCCCCCAAAACTAATGTGCGTCTTATACTCTGAAAAATATGGTAGATTTTCCTCATCTGAAAATTCCTAGAATTCCCGTCCCTGCATATAAAGTTGGGGATTGAAGTTCTAGCACAAGAGGAGGGTAAATGCTGAAAAAGCTATAGCAGATATTGAAGGAAGTCCACAAATGGAAGACTGCCATTCAGGACTTCAGTATCATCAGTAGTTTCTGTCATGGCTATCCCTAGCCTCTCCCTATCCGAAGGTTCTCGGCAACTTACTTGAACTTTCAATCCTGTGGGAAGTCACCTTGACAGCCTTGCCACCTTTTTCCTTGCTGCCCTTGGTCAAAATGGCCAGCTTGGTGGGGATTTGCTGCTGCACAGCTGCCTGTTTCTGGGTCTGGTTGGTGGTACTCAACAAGTGGAGGGGCACTTCATTCTTCAGGACCAGAATGGGGCGGCCTCCCTCCAGTGCAGCACTGTCCTTTCGCCCCAATTCTCCTCGCTCCAGGTACTCCATCCCAGATACACTGGCTCGCCCACCTGGCTTGGTAGGCAGCACGGTTCCTTCCATCCCTTCGCCATTGAAGCTGAGAGAGTGGCTCAGGGTTTGCGCCTGGGGAAAAGTGGACAATATTGGTCATTCACCTCTAGAGGAATCGAACTAAGGGCAGGTTCTTGAAGATAGAGAAGTGGAAAGAAGTGGGAGTGGCAGCAGATTGCCAATTCTCAGGTTTACTTTTCGTACATGCAGCTTCCTTATACAGGTAGTCCTCAACTTCCGACCACACTTGGGATCAGAACTAAGCAAGATGGCTATTAAATGAGTCGTGCCCGATTTTACTATCTTTTTTGCCAGGGTTGTTAAAGCAAATCCAGCTTTCCCCATTGGCTTTGCTTGTCCGAAGCCGGCTGGGAAGGTTTAACAGAACAGAATACCAGACCTTGGAGGCTTCTAGTCCAACCCTCTGCTCCAGCAGGAAACTACCATTTCAGACTAATAGCTGTCCAATCTCTTCTTAAAAGCCTCGGGTGATGACACACCCACAATTTCTGGAGGCAAGTTGTTCCACTGATTAATTGTTCTGTCAGGAAGTTTCGCCTTAATTCTAGGTAGGATCTCTCCCTGATTAGTTTCCATCCATTGCTTCTTGTCCTGCCCTGCAGGTGCTTTGGAGAATAGGTTGACCCCCCTCATCTCTGTGGCTTAGATATTGGTACACAGCTATCATGTCACCCCTAGTCCTTCTTTTCACTAGATTAGACATGCCCAATTCCTGCAACCATTCTTATCCTAAGTCCAGTTTCGAAGTAAACTCAAATGGTAAATGGAGGTTGAAAATAGTGATGTAGCACTTATATAGCGCTGTGCTTTATAGCAGGGGTCTCCAACCTTGGCAACTTTAAGACTTCAAGTTGAAGTCCACAAGTCTTAAAGTTGCCAAGGTTGGAGACCTCTGCTTTACAGCCCTATCTAAGCAGTTTACAGAGTCAGCTTATTGCCCCCAACAATCTGGGTCCTCATTTTACCAACCTCGGAAGGATGGAAAGCTGAGTCAACCTTGAGCCGGTGAGGATTGAACTGCTGAGCCACAGTCAGCAGAAATACCCCGCAGTACTGAATTCTAACCACTGTGCCACCATGGCTCTTGAATATGAACCAAGGATGCAACCATTGTAAATATATGCTAGATTTGCCCAAATTTTGATCACGTGACTGGAGTGATGCTGCAATGGTTGTAAGAGCAAGTCACTTTTTGCACTGCTGTTTTAACTTCAGAGGGTCTCTAAATGAATGGTTTCAAGTCAAGGGCTCCCTGTACCTTTCCAATAGGCCTTCCAGTACTCACTTGGCCTGTCTCAGGTGAGAAGGCACCTGAGACTAGATGCAGCTTCTTCTGCTTGCGCAGCTGTTCCAGACGTTCACGCTCCTTCTCAACGGCTCTCTGGGATTCCCGCAGTCTCTCCAAGTCATGCTGGTAGGCCTCTCGCTGCTGTTCCAGCTCCTCCCGTTCTTGATTCAGACGCTCCATCAGCTGCCGTGCCTCCTCCTCTCGCTCCTGCAACTGGTTCTTCTCCACCTCCATTTGGCGCCGCGTGCGGTCACAGTCACGCTCCCAGCGATGCTGCTCAATCTTTAACTGGCTCTGCAATTTCTGCACATTGGCCAGTTCTTCCCGCTGCTTCTCAAAATTGCGCTGTCTCTCCTGATCCAGTAGCAAATTCCCTCGCGTGGATTGCAGCCGGAACTGCTTCTGCAACTCAATGTAACTGTCCTGCTGGGCTGTCACCGCCTGGGAAGGGGGGGGGGGAGAGAAGATGCACCGGTGAGCTTTCCCCATCCAAAAATTGGGAGAAGGGAAAACTGTTAAAGTAATGATGATTTAATAGCTGACCAGTTGCTGTCAGACTGTAAACTGAGATGATGAAATGAGAATGAGTCAGCAGGGTCACTGCCACTTTAAGAAGCTATCTATATAAGGGAGGCCATGTAAGGACATCTCTCTCTCTCGCCATGTGTTATAATTGAAGATTGATTGATTGCCTGGTTTTGCCTAGTATCAGTGGTGGGCTCCTACCAGTTTGGCAAAATTGGTACATATGTATGTATGTATGTATGTATATGTATGTCTTGTAGATAAACCACTGTTTGAAAGACAAAATCTCTGTGTACTATATTTTGCTCTTGGGTTGTCTCAAAATAGTAGTCACACTGTGCACACTGACAAAAACCCTCCAGGTCCAGTGCTAAGAGTTACAGTTCTGTGGAAATGCTCCAAGGAAGATGGCCATAACTGTGTCCCCTTAATGCTCTAGCAGAAAGTTTAGCCCCTCCCCACTTATATATCATAATTCATCCTCCAGAATCATTGTTCTTTTTAAAAACAAAACAGCAGCTAATGGTGACAACCCTAGGGAGAAGGTAAAGGAATGAAGAGCCCAGGAATAAACCAAAATTCTTAACCCTCTCCCTTGCCTTTCAGAGTTGTAGAAATAATTTTTTTAATGGTCCTGTCATACAGGACACTAAGCAGATCTGAAGAGTTGCTACTGAAGGCTAGACTGGAAAAGGTACTTTCTTCTCCCTCCTCCTCCAAAATTTCTCTATTCAGGTGACTGCCCATCTTTTGTTATTTTGGAGTCTTTCTTGCTCCACCCATGCAAATCATAAAAGCCAATAAATTGAGGGGTGGTGGTGGGAAACGATTTTACCTGGAGGCTAAGCAGCAACTGCAAGAGTGTCTGTATCCTTTGAACAAGCTAAGGGAAAACACAAAGAGGAGGATGTTACCCAACATCTGTCTTCATGAGCTCTGCCATTCGCACACCCAAATATCGGGAACCAACGACTTATTTCTATATACCAGGAAGCCATAAATAGGCCCAATCTATCGGGTTTTTCTGTTGGAACCCGAGACTCTCTTCCCTCCCCCTTGTCCATCTTCTCCCCCTTGTCCATCTTCTATGAGCCAAGGTGGCGCGGTGGTTAAATGCAGCACTGCAGGCTGACTGCTAGATCAGCAGTTCAGCGGTTCAAATCTCACCGGCTCAGGGT